GGGTTGAACTTAGATCACTTTAATGGTTGACGTTAGAAATTAAACTACAATGGATTGAACTAAGATCACTTTAATGGTTTACATTAGAAATTAAACTACAATGGGTTGAACTTAGATCACTTTAATGGTTGACGTTAGAAATTAAACTACAATGGGTTGAACTTAGATCACTTTAATGGTTGACGTTAGAAATTAAACTACAATGGGTTGAACTAAGATCACTTTAATGGTTGACCAGTATTAAACTGGTTAGGATAACAATTAATTAAATATAATTCTAAGCCTAAGTTTAATTAGTAAAAACAGTGTTAAATAAAACTTAATTCCATGTGAGACAGCAAAAAAAATTATCATCTCCAGATGGCACATAACAAACATTATAAAGTAGTGTAGGAATAATACGCTGTACATTTTCATTTAAAGAACTTTGGAGCTTGAAAACTTGATCCTATCCCCCTACATACATGCATGACTTGCCAAATCCCAGACATGAGCTCATTATGATGCCTAAAATAAATGTCTGAAAATGTCAGCCAAGTTTTTTCTTTGTCATTAATAAGTTTTTAATTGTTTATTAGTTCAACTTTTGGACTTCATTCTACAGTTCAGACAATGAAATAGAGGCTAAATGCAACTGACAGTGTGTCCATACCATATCGAGTTTGTTTTCTACGTATACTTCTCCTCTAAGCTAGATTTTATGGTTTCCACACTGCAGCTTACAACCTTAACTAGAGGGTAATACAATTTTATGGTTTCTACAATGCAGCTTACAACCTTAACTAGAGGGTAATACAATTTTATGGTTTCCACACTGCAGCTTACAACCTTAACTAGAGGGTAATACAGGCTAAATTTGGGATTGGTTACAAAAGTGCAAAAGTTTCAGTGTCCAAGATTGAAAAATCATTAAAAAAAAGTTAGGCCAGAATTCAAAGCAATAATATGTGAGATAAAAACAAACAAAAGATTTTGCCTAGATTTTTTTTATATGTATATCATATCTTTCGGTATTCAGTCTTACCCCAAAACCCATCTGCACATTACTATAACACAATATTTAGAAGTATCTATTAGTTTATTTTCACTTTGAGCCACCCCCCCCCCCCCATCCAGTCTAATTTTCACCAAGTTTCCGCTACACAGAAACTTGTCTCGCTTGTGTTCAGTTGCTGCTGTACAAATTAATTTTATGTATAACTCACTGTTAACCCTAGTTTTTGCAGTTGTTACACTAGTAGTTTTGGCTAGATTGTATGAAATTGTATATACTTATTCATCAGTTATTTTCTGACATACTGATAATTTAATTAGTATTATTATTATTTCTGTTACATTTCAATCTAAGAAACTTTCTTGTAGAGTCAGTAAAATTTTGGTATTAAACCAGAAACCAGATGATCATTGTTCTTGATGGTTAGTTACACTAAGTTATTATTTTTCTTGTCAGGAGGAGTCTAGAAAGAGGAGAAAAAATTAAAAGACTGGGTTTTCCCAAAGTAAATCTTCCCCTGCTTGGCTTCATCGTAAGAGAAAAATAAGTGAATCAAGTTTACAGATGGACTTAATTAAATCTTTTTATTTCAGTTAATGTCTTGTTTATGGTATATTTTGAACATTGGTATTTTTCTTTGTTATTAAAATTCCTGGTTTGGAAATTTGTAATAATTGTATATTAATCTGATTTTAAGGATGTTTATATAAAAAATTTATTATAGGATTATTCAGTTATTAGTAATTAATATGTTTTATATAATGTTTAGTATACAAAAAGAGAATTAACAGAAATGTAATTTAAACAGTACAAACACCAAATTAATGTTTACTAAAGTATCTTGTTCAACTCTACTAGTGTCGAGATGTAATAATGTCCTTGTGGAATAAAGAAATTTTTTGATCAAAATGTTTTAATTTTAATGCTGAAACTTTTACATGACAATATGTTTCATCATTTAAGATTTTTTTAAGAACAACTTTCATGTTGAATGTAAATTACCATATTAGGTATTTAGACAATGAAGTATTATGGAAATTAAGCCTACTTATACAAAAATTAATGAACTTAAAACTTGCTGTCATGTACTAATGTATTTAAAATAACTTTTTACAGCCACTTAATTGGAGTGTTCTTGATATTATGACAGGTTTCTTGGTTTAACATCATTTGCCCGCAGTTCTGCCTTGAAAGCTCTATAAAATGTGAGAGTTGTTTCGTTGTACGAGACCTACAAATTAAGAGATTTTCTCTTGCGTAAAGACCTTATCAACACTGGATATGGCAGATGTAGTGTTGTTGGCAGGTTATATATATATATCTCTTTGCTTTCACTCATAAGTTCTTAGAAAAATTCTTTTCCTGCCACTAGTTTAGAAGTAATGTGTCGTCTTCTCTTTGCTGCTTTATGGATGTAGTGTTAAAAAGAGCCAGCCAGATAACTGCAGGGAGATGTTCCGCGTTAACTCTCTCGCTACTGGTAGGTAGGTCAAAGTATGCACGTCGCAACCTTTTTATGGAATTACATTCAAAATTTAATTACTAATTTATTACCAACGTAGATTTATAAACTTGACATCAAAACAGGTAATAAATCAAATTTTAATAATACTTAATTTTATAACAAAATAATATTAAAAAATCCTCACTCTTCTCTAGTATGAGAATTGTGACACTTTTTTTTTCTCTCTCTACATCTTCTCCAGTTTATTTACCAACCTTCTCTGAAATACGGAATTTAATGTAAATTAATCATTACAATATAGATATTACTAAGTCAGAGTCTAATTTTTTGTAGCCTTCAATCGTGTTTGTTTACAGAATCATAAACTAGAAACTCAACCCACTTGCCACTCCCACCTGTCACATCATCTCTATTTTATACTATATCATTTATAACCAATAGAAAGGCAGTGTTTTAATCTATCAAATGATATATAATACTATGTCGTTTTCAGTACAGGGGGCTGTCAATTTCACATTCAGTTTAAAAAGTTTGTCTTGTGATGTTCAGATCGAGCAACAAATTTAAGCCTCTCTTATCGTACTTAGAAAGTCAGATAACTTGTAGTAGTTGTACGACATTGTTTGCTTTTGTGCGTGTTATTATTTTGTGTTCTTAGTTTTATTATTTAAGTAAATTATTTAATGTACTAGTACCATCACTATAAAATAAAAAACTTAAATTTCATTTGGAAACAAACAAAAAACAAGGTCAAAGGTTAGTAATGTTTCTTGTTTTTCGTGTATATTCTTTATTTACAGTTGTAAAAGTAACTAAGATGTAAAAATTAGAAACTTGTTAAGTTAGATAGTGGAAAAACAATAACTGTTCATGAGGTATGCTCGTGTGTTACATCATTCAAGACAGATAACATGAGCTACGTGTTCACTCAGTGATTTACAACTTGTGTGGTGGGATTCTTATTTATACATGGTTTAAAAGGCAATAAAATTAAGTAGAAACAGATGTATACTGTTATGAGTTTAAAGATATTTAAGATAAACAAACGTAGTTTCCTGTTATAATTCGAAGTTATTCTAGAAAGGAAAAGTGTAATTTAATTTTTTTTTTTATGGTGGTTACAATGTCAGTCAAATTAACTAAATCCATATAGAGTTAGGGTAGAGAAACTAACAGATAAAATAGTTTTACTGAAAAAAAATGCTTGATATTTATTTTTTAAGTTTTAGAGGTTATGCAAATGAAAACTGCTGTGCACTCATAGTAGTCAACACTGACTCCATATATTTACGGACAAATCTTTAAAAAAAAAAAAATATATGTTAATTTTTGTGTTCAAAAAGACTTGTAAAGTTTACTGAAAACTTGCTAAATTTCGCGAAGATACACAAAATATATTAAAAGTTATAGTATGGAGAATGTGGTTACAAGATTGGTCACATTGACTGACTCCATATGGAAAAAGTTAACAACTGACTTTCATTCTAGCCGAGTAATAATAGAAGCATGCGGTATGCTTAGCGGATGGAGTGTGTTTGGGTAACAGTCAGCTTCCATCAGGAAATGCGAGTGATTTTTATCCAAAATTTGATTAGAGTCTGCTTGACCTGAAGATGTCTGTTGTGTAACTCCTTCAAGGAATACAATGTCACTAATCATGGACATCTTCTAGTGTTGTTAGCTCCAAACTATTGCACAGTCCCTTTCTAATTAAGGCAAATTAATCTTTCCAGCCGATCTGAGTTGACCTTTGTCTCTTGAGGATAGTTAAGGGCAAGCTAATTTAAATACACTTCTGGATATGCTGCCTTCCTCTGTGGGTAAACATACTACCAGTAATTTCAATACAGCAGGTTGTTTCATCCTCAGTGTTAATCTTTTATGGAGCACTGGTATAGAAACTGTTGGTTTTACCATTAATCAAACCAACAAAGCAGCATTATGCCAGATACTGGAACTAAGATGTATGTTGTCCTGAAAATTCTTTGGCTACCAAAGACATTCTGAAATAAGACAGAGTTTGTATATTTGAAATAAACCCTTTGAAACAGAAAAAATAGGGACAAATTCACTTGCTTATATATGTTTTTAATAATTCCCTATTCATAACACTAAATATTCAACATTTATTGAAAAAAGTAAAATTACACAGTAGGATTAAGTATTCAGTTTTTGCATTAATTCAGAGAGCAACTGGTATTTCCTTTGGATATTGGAAAAGGTTTATTTACGTTCTTAAAAAGGAATTGTATAGTTCTTGATATTTTCTTTTCATTTTTTACTTTAGGCTTAACAGTTTGAGTTAAACATTCAATTAAAGAGTGTATGCATGTGCAATAGGGTCTCCTGACAGTGGTAACACAGTAATTTTGTTGATCATAATGTGAGATCTACGTAATGTTTTACATACGATAGCTTTTTATTCAATATCGTCCTTAGGAAAAATTTGTTTATTGATTTTAGAATAATTCCACCAACTGTCAATAAGAATTTTTATTTTTTCTCAGGTAATAGGTTTTGCTTATATAAACAGTAAAGAAAAACAACAATAAACTTGGCACAATAACTGTACCTTGATTTTGTTTGTAAGAGCTGTGAGTAACTAAAACAAGAACCAAGTTTTATGTTAAATAAATATTAAAATATATGTATGTTTTCACTAGTTTGTGCTCAGTATAAGGTTGTAGTTACATTGCTAACAGAGTAAACCTGCTAAAAGAAACAGAAAAATGTGTCCACTTATCACAATTACTGTTGGCTTCCAGAAGTATGCGTTAGCTTATTTAAATTATACAAGTACAAAATTTAAACTCGGCAACTTAAAATTCTTTATTTTTCTTGCCAATAAAGTAAACGAGTAACAAAAAAATAAAAGAATTTTCATGGAAGACCGTACATGGATATAAATTGGACAAACACACCCATGTACGTGTTATTGAAACATTGCTGTAGGTTGCTCCAAGAATGCCACTGGTAAGTTTGGCTTTAATCAGAAGACCGGGATGCCGATGACCTGAACAGTCTTCATTATGTTTAGAGCACATCCATGTTGGACAATCAACCCATTGATTTTAGCACTATAAATCCATAAACTTACCACTATCCCACTGGGAGATGTATGTACAGTCATCATACAAAACTATCTTAACCCTTTCCCTGTTCTAGGTCATTTACTGGTTTCTATGGATACACTTATTTACCCAAAAAAGTAGGTATGAGGGAAGCATATACTTCTAGTAGGATACACTTATTTACCCAAGTAGGTATGAGGGAAGCATATTATTTACCCAAGTAGATATGAGGGAAGCATATACTTCTAGTAGGATACACTTATTTACCCAAGTAGGTATGAGGGAAGCATATACTTCTAGTAGGATACACTTATTTACCCAAATAGGTATGAGGGAAGCATATTATTTACCCAAGTAGATATGAGGGAAGCATATACTTCTAGTAGGATACACTTATTTACCCAAGTAGGTATGAGGGAAGCATATACTTCTAGTAGGATACACTTATTTACCCAAGTAGGTATGAGGGAAGCATATACTTCTAGTAGG